AAAAAACAACAAAAAAAAACTGCAAAGAAGGAGCTAAGGCTTTGGTCCTGAGACTGGTCCAACTTGGGTAGTTGATTCCTGTGTCCTATTGGCCTGGTATCCTTCTGCCAGGAATATAGATAGATGGAGCCAACTCTAGAAATGAGCCTCTGCTTACTCTGAATTTCACTGAATTTTTTAGAGTTGGAAGGGACCATAGAGATCATCTAGTCCAACTCCCCTGCTGAAGCAGGATTGCCTAGAGCTAGAGCATGTTACTCAGGATGGCATCCAGGCGGGTCTTGAAAATCTCCAAGGAAGGGGACTCCACAACCTCCCTGGGCAGCCTGTTCCAGGGCTCTGTCACCCTCACCGTGAAGTTTCTCCTCATATTTGAGTGGAACCTCTTATGTTCCATCTTGTGCCCGTTGCCCCTCGTCCTCTCACTGGGAACCACTGAAAAGAGTCTGGCTCCCTCCTCCTTCAACCCTCCCTTGAGATACTCTTCTAATTCAGTGATGTAATTTGCAAAAGCAGAACCTTATGTAATCATTTTTACCACCTTTACCAGTGTCAAAATCCCTTTGAAAACATCCCGTGTCTGTTCTCCACTTTGAGCTTGCTTAAACTGTATCCAAAGACACTGTAGGAATATTTCCTAACAAGTGTAATCTCTATCAGTGTCTTAATCTGGAATAAATCAAAATTCTTGTTATGATTGGAGGTTTGGGGACTTGACTGTCACCAAAACCCTAACTGCTAGGACCTAGTTTGTAACCAGGTGGCTAGAGCTGCTCATGCACTCAATTTCAATTCTCTTACTGCAGTTGTCATGAAGAGATTAACACCTGTCTTCAAAGACCTGGTGTGAAACATACTGCCTGCTTCTGTTTTCTGAATGGGTAATGCAGTCCTAGCAAGTGGACATATTTTTTTTTTTTTTAAAGGGGGAATTTTGCCAGTCCCAGTGGAAAAATAAACACACCTGTTCTTTTTCTCCTCACTCAAAACCAGAGGATTGCTGTCTGGCAGTGGAGCAGTGCTGTTTCTATGGTAGGCTCTGCCTTTACACCAAGGAAGCGGTCCTTTGAGCTCCCTCTCAGTTACCAATTTCCAAAGAAAACTACTTTGATGTAAATCTTTACAAGGCTGAGCGTACTCACCTGGCTGCACTCAGACCTGGAGGTGGTGGAACTTCTCCTTGATGAGGCTAGACTCTCTTCAGTCACCTGTTATCTCCCCATCTTTAGATAAATGGCCAAGAAGGCCAATGGCATCCTGGGGGGCATGAGGAAGAGTGTGACCAGCAGGTTGAGGGAGGTCATCCTGCCCCTCTGCTCTGCCCTGGTGAGGCCCCATCTGGAGCACTGGGTCCAGTTCTGGGCTCCCCAGTTCAAGAAGGACAGGGAACTGCTGGAGAGGGGACAGGAGAGGGCTACAAAGATGATGAGGGGCCTGGAGCATCTCTCTCAGGAGGAGAGGCTGAGGGACTTGGGTCTTTTAGTCTGGAGAAGAGAAGGCTGAGGGGGGATGTGATCTGATCAACACCGATAAATACTTCAAGGGTGGGTGTCAGGAGGGTGGGGACAGTCTTTTTTCAGTGGTGCCCAGGGATAGGACAAGAGGAAATGGGCACAAACTTGAATATCAGGAAGTTCCATCTAAACATGAGGAGGAACTTCTTCCCTTTGAGGGTGGCAGAGCCCTGGAAGAGGCTGCCTGGAGAGGTGGTGGAGTCTCCTTCTCTGGAGACATTCCACACACCGCCTGGACACGTTCCTGTGCAACCTGCTCTGGGTGGCCCTGCTTTGGCAGGGGGGTTGGACTTGATGATCTCCAGAGGTCCCTTCCAACCCCATATCATTCTGTGATTCTGTGAAATTTTCTCCTTGGGACTCTCTCTGAGTCTTTCTGGGTCTGTTGCAGTTGGATGTTCTGTGTGCTGGGCTGTATGTCCTGCTGGAGTCAGCCAGCACATTAGGACACACCACTGCCAAAGGACATTTCCCCTGCCTGCTTTGAATTCCCTGAGACCTGAACCGTGTCCCTCCCCGGTGCTGGCACAAGCTGTCGTGCAGCTGCTCAGCCTGAGGAGGAGTCCAAGCCAACCTGTCCTTCCTCCCCCCACCCGGTGTCTGGCATCACTAGTCGGTTTAGTTTACATCAGCGGATTAACTCCCAAATGACTAGGAGATCTGTCAGCGACCAAAACTGAACTACAGTCACACAGGGACAGGCTGTAATTCAGCGTTTTCACCCTTACAATTCCAAGTAAGGGTGAACAACCTAAGTTAAGGCAGTGGTCTGTCTGCAGCTGAGTACTTTAGAGTCTTAATATTGTGTGTAATTTGTTACCACACAGACTTAAAAGCGTCTTGGAATCATTCAGGAATCATCTCCAGCCAACCTGGAATCATTCTGGAAGCCAACCTGGAGAACTGGTGTCAGCCTGGGCAGTTTCTTCTCTGTAGGAAACCATTACTTCACAATATCTGTTTTCTCAAAATAATTTCTCAATGTTTTCTCAAAACACATGTATTTACATGACCAAGAGCTGGCTGCCTTCTCTGAGCTACTCTTTATTTTTATCCTGAGGCTTGTTTAGACCTTTGTGCTTAAGGAAAAAATAATGTGGCGAGGGATCCCAAGCAAAGTTTGGAAAGAAGCTGGAGTAACTGTGTGATTATATCACTGCACGAGTGATATACATAATATGAGCCATTAAGTAAAAAAAAACAGTTAAAATTACGCAGTTTATACATAATTTGATTGTTATACTCTCTCTGAATGAGTCAGATGCTCTGCAATCAACAACTTCGGGCCTCCTCATCCAAAAATCCGAATCAAATACTTTCACTGTGTATTTTTAACGTTGGCAACCAAGCTCTCAGGTCTGTGGAATGAAGGAGAGCTTTGTTTGAGCAGCAGAGCTACTGCTTCCCTGTAGGAAAGGCGAGTCCTAATGTTACCACCGGTCCCCTTACCTGCGTAGGTAGGTTTTTTTGGATGTTTCGTGTGATGGTACCCCAAAAGTGGCCTGTGTAAAATGCTCTCTGCAGCAAAAAGCAGGTTTAGGTGCTGCACAACACACCCATGTGTGTGTTTGGACGCTGCAGAAACTTGCCAGGTGGGAGGAATGGTTGCAGTTGAGTAAGGTGCTGCTGTGCAGGGAGTAAACAAAAGGCTTCAGAAGCCCCGAAACAAAACATTTCTTTGTATTTTTAATTCAGCTCCTTTCCCTTCCGGACTCACAGCAAACATTGATGGTTGCCGAGATACCACACGAAATAATCCATCACTCAGTTGCAGGAAAACCCACCTCCTTTCTCACCTCTCAGAGGAGAAGCAGGAGCATGAAGAAGGAAAGAGGAACCTGTCTCTGGAGCTCCTGCGGGGAGCCCAGGGAATGAGCTCTGGAGGCCTCTGTGCAGCCACTTGTGTGGTTAAAGGGATGGACCTTCCCTTTTAGTGTAACTGAATCAGAGAATGACGTGGGGTTGGAAGGGACCTCTGGAGATCATCTCCTCCAACCCCTCTGCCAAAGCAGGTCCACTCAGAGCAGGTTGCACAGGAACGTGTCATAAAAGGCCACCAAATTTGCCAGGCATGCACAGGAACGTGTCATAAAAGGCCACCAACTTTGTCAAGCACGGTGAAGCCACGTTGGCTGTCTCCAATCCCCTCCTTATTTTCCCCATGAATTCCAGGAGGAATCCAGGAGGATTCCAGAGATTCCAGGAGGATCTGCTCCATGATCTTGCCAGGCACAGAGGTGAGACTGACCAGCCTACGGTTCCCTGGTCTTCTCTTTTTTTTTCCCTTTTTTTATTAACATGGGGGTTATGTTCCTCCTTTTTCCAGTCAACGAGAACTTCACCCGGTTGCCACCATTTCTCAAGTATCATAGAATCATAGAATTGCCCAGGCCGGAAGGGACCTCCAAAGGCCATCTAGTCTGACCTCCCCGCAGTCAGCAGGGACACCCCCAACTAGACCAGGTTGCCCAGGGCCTCATCGAGCCTCTCCTTGAATATCTCCAGGGAAGGGGCCTCAACCACCTCCCTGGGCAACCTATTCCAGTGCTCCACCACCCTCACAGTGAAGAACCCTCTCCTAATCTCCAGTCTAAATCTGTTCCCCTCCAGCTTGAAGCCATTGCCCCTCGTCCTGTCACTGCAGGCCTTTCTAAACAGGTTCTCCCCAGCCTTCCTGTAGGCTCCCTTCAGGTACTGGAAGGCCGCTATTAGGTCTCCCCGGAGCCTCCTCTTCTCCAGGCTGAACAACCCCAGCTCCCTCAGCCTGTCCTCGTAGCAGAGGTGCTCCATCCCCCTGATCATCCTTGTGGCCCTCCTCTGGACCCGGGCCATGTCCTTCTTATATTGAGGGCTCCAGACCTGCACACAATACTCCAGGTGAGGTCTCACCAGAGCAGAGTAAAGTGGCAGAATCCCCTCTCTGGACCTGCTGGCAACGCATCTTTTGATGCAGCCCAGGATGGGATTGGCCTTCTGGGCTGCAGCTGCACCCTGCCTGCTCATGTCCAGCTTCTCGTCCACTTCTCATCCACCAAGTATGACGGAAAGCGGTGGAGCAACCTCACCCACCACCTCCCCGGGGACCCGTGGATGGATTTCCTCGGGTCCCATGGACCTCCAGGTCCCTTGAGTGGTCTGGAACCCGATCTCCTCGTACAGGTACCGGTGGCGGGGGGCATCCCGCACGCTGGCACGGCACCGGGCGGCGCCTGGCCCTCGCTGGGGGCCCGCCGAAGGGACGGGGTCCCCTCCGGGAGCTCCGATGTGTCGTGTGTGTGTGTGTCCCCGCTT